GATAAGAAAGCCCGCCACACGCGCCGAAAAAATGAATTATGAAATTAGCGACATGCATTAACGCCGGGACGCCCGGGACACCCGGGACACCGCCAGGCCCAACAGTGACACCTCCCGGCCACCGACGGACGGGAAACGGACTTTCGCTCCTGCTGACACCCGGGACACCCGGGACACCGCCCGGTCCAACTGGGACACCTCCCAGCCACGGGCGGACGGGGAACGGACTACACCCGGGACACCCAGGACACCGCCCGGCCCATCTGGGACACCTCCCAGCAACTGGCGGAGGGGAACGGACTTTCGCTCCCACTTCGACCTAGCTACAGGAGGATCACGCGCAGCTGCGCCTCGCCCGCACGCACGACACGAACACGAAACCGAAACCGATTTCCCGGTGGGGGGTCTCCGTTACACTGCGATCTCACCCCCCAACCTCCGATACATAAATATATACATACCTATACGACCACCCTTCGGGTGATAAGGAGGTTCAGGAGGGGGAGGAACCAACGTCTCACTCGATCGGTCTCACTATCGATCTCACTATCGATCTCACTATCGGTTTCGCTCGATCGATCTCACTCGATCAATCTCACAATCGATCTCACTCGATCTATTTGATTCGATCGATGTCACAATCGATCTGACTATCGTTCTCACAGTCGATCTCACTATCGATCCCACTATCAATCTCACAATCGATGTCACATTCGGTCTCACCATCGATCCCACTATCGATATCACAATCGATCTTGCAATCAATGCCATCATCATCAACATCATCGTCATCAACGTCACCAACATCATCATCATCATCATCATCATCATCATCATCATCATCATCATCATCATCATCATCATCACCATCATTATCATCATCATCATCATCATCATCATCATCATCATCATCATCATCATCACCAGGACACCATCGACATCATCACCTCATCACCATCATCATCAACATTATCATCATCATATCCATCAGCATCGGCACACCATCATCGTCACCATCATCATCAACATCACCATCATCGGGACACCATCATCATCATCATCGTCGGAACACCACCATCATCATCATGCCATCATCATGAACATCATCACCAACATCATCACCAGAACACCATCATCAACAGCAACATCACCAACATCCAACTCATCATCATCGGAACACTATCATCATGGTCACCATCATCAGTATCATCACCATCACCATCACCATCACCATCACCATCACCATCACCATCACCATCATCATCATCATCATCATCATCATCATCATCATCATCATCATCATCGGGACACCATCATCATCAACATCAGCATCATCATCACCAACATCATCGGACCACCATCATCAAAATCATCATTATCACTTCATCATCATCCTCATTATCAACAACATCATCATCGGGACACCATCATCGTTATCATCATCATCAACATCCCCATCATCGGGACACCATCACCACCATCATCATCAACCTCATCATCATCATCATCATCATCATCATCATCATCATCATCATCGGGACACCATGATCATCAAATTCATCATCATCATCATCATATCGTCATCGTCTCATCACCATCAACATCACCAGGATCACCAACATCATCATAATCATCATAATCAGCATCATCATCATCAGTGGGACACCATCATCATCAGCAACATCATCATCACCAACATCATCATCGGGAAACCATCATCATCACCACCATTGCCAGCATCATCATGATCAACATCGTCAACATCATCGTCAACATCATCATCATCATCATCATCACCATCATCATCATCATCATCATCGGGACACCATCATCATCACCACCATCACCATCACCATCACCATCACCATCACCATCATCATCATCATCATCATCATCATCATCATCATCATCATCATCATCATCATCATCATCATCATCGACATCATCATCATCAACATCATCGGGACA